TGCATGAAGTTGTAACTTGCCGAGAGTCGCTGTAATGCATTAATGGCGGCGCGGGGAGAGACAGAGAGAAAGAGAGAGAAAGAGAAAGAGATGCGGGCGAGAAGTAGAGGAAGGCAGGGAGAGAATCCCCTTATATAAGCGCCATATTAAAGTCCTTCCTCAACGTCGTCGATGGGCTGCCGCGAATGAAAACAGTCGAAACCTGTTATCAGCAACCTTTCGAGAGATCCTCGATAAATCTAACAGTTCTATTACGTTCGATCATACGTGCAGGCTTACATCGAGAAACGTCAGATCTCGCAATTGTCACATTTAAAAAAAAAAGAAAATTGCAAATGATTTCAATCCCAGGACTGCAAGGTGATTTAATCGTGATTAAATTATCATGAAATTTGCAATTACGCGGTAGCTTTCGACTTATCGGAAAATCTAGTCGTCTCGGAATCGTATATCTTTGAACATAATGTCTCTTTCATGTAAAAGGCTCGCGATACGATCATCAGGCGGCAAGATAAACACGACAAGCCAAAGACACACGCGTGTCGCGCGTAATGAGAGCAGCAAAGTAATAGGTTCGTTGAACGAGTGCGCACGAATGCAAAACGAAAACGGACATTCCGGCCTTGGTCGATCGGCGAACGCGGTGGACTTTGCCCGCCCGGTATGTGCAAATCGCGCGCGACTTTCATTTATTAATGAAACCCCGACGTTAATGACGAAGTCGGCGGGGCATGAGATCGCGAATTTCGTACACGAGAAAAATACACGGGCACATCCGCACATGAGCGCGTGCGCGCGATCCCGCGCGGCCAGACCTGTTGAAAAATTCGGGAGAAAGCAGGACTCGTTTCGATCTCTGTCAGAAAATTTGCCGATCGTGTCGCAACGGCACGTTTCACGTAATAGGTAGAATAAGTTGGCGCGCGCTGCCACGAGCCAGCTGACAAGCTGACAATGTGGCCGCGCTGCGAGATCCTCGGGCTTGTTGCGGGATATTTAGTCGAAATTCAGCTGACGGACGCATCGATGGATGGATCAATGATCGTCGATATTGAGCAAGTGAATCGATCCAAGATCGATAGCTACGCGCTTGTTCAAGACTGTATAAAAAGTGCGTGGCGCGTGTTCTTTTTGCATCATGCGTATGGATTATACAACAGCTTTTACCGATTGCGTTACTGTATACAGTGGCCGGTTAGTTAAGCAGAAACTAGTTTACTCGGTTTACACAGGATTCCGCAAAACCGCCATATCATTCCAATGGTAGAATAACGCTGGCTAATTATTTAATTATTTTTGCGCAATTTCATTTACATGCGTATTTTTTGCCTAAACAGTTACACATGATATGGTGATTTAAAATGATAATGTACCTTTAGATTTAAAATGATAATATCTTTAATGATATAATTTTGTATAACATACATATAAATTACACGTATAAATTATACTATAAATTTATACTACGTATAATTTATACGTGTAATTTATATGTAAATGCGCAAAAAATATAATTATTTATAATTGTAAAAAAAATTGTTTTAAAATGATATGTTAAGAAAATTATAAGAATATATATAGATGATTATTCGCATCTTCAAAATATATAGAGAGATAATTAAAGAGCGTAATTAGAAAAGGAGATAATTAAAGAGCGTAATTAGAAAAAATAAACCATTGAAAAAATGTATCTTGCTATCTATGTACCTGTAATATTTATTAGTCGTACACTGATTATTAGGCGCCGTAATTTTATTGGTAATATTTCGTTATGTTCTATTTCGTTTGAAACTAGCTCTAATCATCTGTAACGAGAATGAAAGATCTTGAAAAAAATATGGGAAAATTATTTCACACTTATGGGAGCTGAAGAAAAATTCTACATCCTTTCTCCTTTTCGTTAAATATTAATATACACCTACACAAATAAATACTCGGTTGAGGCAATTTGTTTTCTTTTTCTTTTTTCTTTACCGATTCTGCCACACATCGATTTATTTACGTGTCTGCAAATATTTCTTAATATATCAAAACGTAAGATGCTAAACATCACCCCTTTCAACGTGTAAAAATTGGCTGAGAGGAAATAAATATTGATAAGTATTATATTATTAAAATCGAGAATCATTAAAAATAATAAAATTCATCATATCAAAAAATGAAATAATTCACATAATTCACATAATTCACATAATTCACATAATTGACATAATTAACATAATCGCCTGGCAAATATCACGATGTCGATAACAAAATTTACATATGTACATATATACATATAACATTAATTTTCAGATTGCACCATAATATCATAATATCATATGTAATTATTTTTTTAATTTGTAAAAAATTACTTTTAAAATAAATCTTTCTACGATAATCATTTTTTTATCAAATTTGACGTAACATTAAAATAACATTTCGTTTGTGCAAACTAACTCCTGCATACGCTATTTGAATTATATATTTTAATGTTATTTCTCTTTTTTCTAGTAATGTTTAATTTAATCTTTAATTATCGACACTTATTTTTTAATTTTTACATAAGCAAGGTTATTTTCATTAATCAAATTCACATTACTTTTTGATCCAGTTGTGTCATTATACTTATTGTTAGATTAGTCTCTAAATAACATACTAATTTTATTTTGCGATTTCGTATATTCTTAATGAGATATATAAATAACTATTGATATTAATTATTGATGTTAACTATATAAATAATTATTGATTTTACTTTATAGATTTCGCATTTTTTAATGACTATAGTTAAATATAAGTTAAATATATAAGATGGATACTTATGTGTATGCATATGAATTGATGATTCTCTTCTGTCTACAAAGATTAAATAAGTATACGAATACAAATGTCAAGATAAAACTATTCGTTCAAATTATACTCATTATGTATCATTTTATACTGATCATCTTCATTATTTGATAAATAAACACGATAAATGACGGTCATAAAGTGGATTAAATGGATTAGTTGGATTAGACATTTGGATTAGATTTAAAAATATTTGCGTTTATCGCGAAATTATATGCGCGAAAAAATAAATATTTACAATCTTTCGTCACCGGTAATTACACAATAACTTAAGCATGACAATAAATTTTTAAATGCAAGAAATTGAATTTATAAAATGAGCTGTTTTTTTTAAATATCGTATATGATAAGAGTTCCAAAAATTTTATATGTAAGAAAAAAATTGATATCAAAGAAATAATTAAATCTCATAAATTTTGTAGGAAGAGATATATCGTTTTGTCCGCGAAAGTTTTTTATTATGAATAATATCGTGCAAGAAACAATGTTGGAATCTCAGTCTCGGAACATCCACGGATAATAACACAACATTGCGTGTTACGTATCGCGTATCGTGCGACAATTAATCATACTACACCATTGTTACATTATGTAACGTAGAATAACATGATATATATTCACGACTACGTGATTTTGTAGCTGAAACGTGATTATTTTATTTCGAAACGGTCGGCTCGTATAAATCTCCAAAATGAAAGATATGATCAATGTGGTTCAAGCACATATTATTTTTAGTAGATAGAATACATATCTGACAAGGAGATAATAAATAAATGATAGAAAGGAGGAAAAAAAAGAAAAGAGAATTAAAGCTTCGGATATTAAGTAGTAAGTAAGTGCTTTCATTCGACATTAAAGAAACACATGTTACAATTTATCTATCTACTTATCACGAACGCCTTATCTGTAGAAACCACCAACGATAAAAGGTATGAAAGACCGTTCTTTACTAGGGCAAAAAACTTCTCAAAATAAAAAATAAATAAAAATAAATAAAAATAAATAATAAATAATAAGAAGATAAAAATAAAGAATAATAAGAAAATTCAAGTGTCTAAAGAGAAAAATTAAAATATCACATAATGAAAAGTATGAAACTGAGGTTTACAAATATTGTCGACTTTTTGTCTTTAATAATGACAAAAAAATAATGGTGACAGGAAGCTACGGGGAATATCATAACGATCATGGAAGCTTTCGACTTGTTGTTGCAATATTGTGTAAACGATCATCCCGTTTTGCTAATCGCAAAACAAAATGAACGTAGAGGAACGCAGGTTGCATCGTGAAACGTTGACTCAAGGCTTTCCTCGGTATATAAGGATAGCCTAACGACTATAAATACGTTCATTAAATGCTCTCATAGTCTGTTGCGAACGAGTGGAACGTGAATCGAAGTCAAATCAAGCGCTTGAGGTGATTCATAAAAGAAGACAAATAAAAAGGAAGAAAGGAAGGAAGGAAAGAAGAAAGGAAGGAGACGGTATTTCGTATGCATTCGAGCAAGTGAACTGAGGCAAACAATCAATCGATAACTGAGGAAATAATTGAAATCACGGACACAGACAGTGCTCCAACTATCATAGGACTCGTGCTCATCAATAATTTAATTTAATTTCCGATCTCGCAAAACCCAAATATCAATAAAATTTTTCATTTGCTGCTAAGATCGAAATCAACAATTTCGATGTCATAAATAGATGATTGATCCGTGTAATACACACTCTTCGCATCAAAAATGAAACACATCGAAATTGAACTAATCCCGATTTCCTCAACGACGAATAATTTATTTATAGACAATTCCCTTCTTCAAGAAAAACGATAGATTTTAATAATTTTTATTCGATATACAAATTATTCGACAAATAATAAATTATTATATTTATTCTCATATGAAAAATTGCATAATATAAAAGATAACTTATGAAAAAATGATTACATTATTATATTAATATTATGATAAAAACTTTTAATTCTATTTATAATAACTCTAATATTTAAAAAAAATCATTATTATACCATTACTTTATCACATTTATTATCATGTTATCATTTAATATTATTAATATTATTAATACTATTATTCGCCGCTGCGAGAAATCAGAATTGAAAAAATAAAAATTTCTTTTTAATCGTATCAAGAAAAAATCCCTCACAATACTTACTATCGGAAGATCGCGTACGAATTGGTCAACGTTGGTCCAAAAACCGTAACACACACTACAATCTTCGTGACACTTCGACGTAAGCGAAAGTAGCCTTCTTTCCTTCTTCTTCTGTCTCTATCTCTCCCTCTTTTTCTGGCTGCTCACCGTTCTTGACTGTTCTCTCAACTTTCAGGCGACTACGGGACAAGGAAGAACGAAGGGAGTCGAAAGGATCGGCACGACGGGATATCAGCGATTCTGTAGGATCTTGACGCGTCGCGAAAAAATTCAAATACGAAAACCTCTTCAGCCTCTCCGAAATTGCAAGTGCTAATTTTATGTTCGACAAACCGAATGTTGTTTCGGGCGAAAATGTAATTAAAAAAAAATTAAAGAAAAGGAAAAAAAAGATACCGAGCGTTATCGAGCGCGTCAAAAGCGTCGAACGCACTACCGTCGTGCCAACTCGCGGACTGGCGAACGTAATGCCGGTGCATTGCTTTTAACCGATTCGCCATATTGGTATTCATCATCCCTTCTACCAACCCCTCCGCCCCCACCCTCGCGCTCTCTCGTTCTTTTTCTGTCTCTCTCTTCCTTTCGGTCCCTCGCGTCTTCTGGATCTCGCAGTCGTACGCGCTACCCGCGACATCAACATGCTATAGTTCACCTGTACACGTTCTTGACATCGTCACGGTATTCGTCAAGTGACGTCAACGGCGACGATAATGAATTCCTTGACCCTGTGGGTGTCCGGATGTGCGATTGTGGATTATGTCACTACTTTATGTTAATTGCGCTTTTAAATGTGCAAATCGATCTGCACTTTGACATAGCTCTTTGATTTTTTATCCAAGTAAATAAAATCGAGTATCTAGGTAAATAGAATTACGTGACATATTGTAAAAGATATCGAGAATTGAAATTCTAAAAACAAGAATTACGCTTTATGAAGTTTGCCTTTACACGCACGAAATTTATACATAAGTTGTTTTATTTTTACAATATATATATAATATGCAAAATATAAATTTTATATCACTTGCTAATTATTTTATTTGTTAATCATTTGTTAATCGATTTGATCAAAATGGAATTTTTATTAAAAGATACGAAAAAAATAAGTAAATATATTTGTAAACGTAAATACATTTATATGGCAAGTAAATTATTCCTGGCATTTTTTGCGTGTCATTTTATAATCTAAATTAGACTCAAAAACATATTAAACTTTAACAGCGATCAATATTAATTATTAAATATTTTTTAAGAATAAAAATAATATATTATTTTTAATAAAGAGAGAGAGAGAGATTCTTTAGAGAGATAATCTTTAGAGAAATAATATACAATGAGATACGCACACTATGTCTCTTTGAGTCACCTTCTCAAAGTCAAAGTCGGCGATTTGTAGAAAAATTGATGAAAAATTGAAAACATGAAAAATGTGTTTTCAACGATAAAAAAATAATTTTATACTTTTATAATTTTAACGATTAAAAAAAAATTTCATAAAATGTTTATTACAAGTCACATATCTCATATTTAGTTAACTTATTTTACATGATTTTTTTTCGTATCTTCTATGAAATTTTTTTATTTCCCCGACTGACATCTGATATAACTAAAACTTCTTTCAATTTCTCGAGCATTCTATTTCAATTAAGAAAAAGTTTTAGCAAAGTAAAAACATTAGCATAAAAAGATTCTTTTTCAAAAAAACATTATTTTAGACTCCTGAAAAGATACTTTGACTTTCAACGTTAATGTTTTTTGAATCTTATAATCATAAATTTTGCAAATTTATGATTTATTACATTGACGTTTTATTTTTTGCAAATTGTAAAATAAAAAAGAAAATCAAAGATGATCGATATAAGACTTTGAATATTCTTGTAGAAACATCTATATTTCTTATAGACTTTATTTAAATATCCTCATTCTGATTGTAAGATTAAAGATCATAATTTCATAATCGTTTAGAAGAATCTTTTGAAATAAATTATTACCGATATTTGCAATTTATAATGAATTGCTTGAGATTATTCTGGAAAAGGCAACGATTTAATCGGAAGACAAATATAATGGAGAAATACATTTTAAGAGCTGTTGTTTATAAAAATCAACTTTTCTGTTTCTCACAATCGAATTTATACAAATGTCTTGTATAAAATGTCAAATCAAGTATTCTATTTTTCATTTGATAATAATAATATAATAATAATATAATAATAATTTAATAATAATAATTTAATTTAATATAATAATAATTTAATAATAATAATAATAATTTAAATAATAATAATATAATAATAATTTTAATAATAATAATTTAATAACTATAATAAAATCGTATATGATCTCCAAAAACACCAATTCTATATATCATAATTTATCATGATTGATATCATGATTTATTAATATAGAAAAATGAAAAATTAAAATATAGAGAAGGTTAAAATCGAATAAATTATGATAATTATTGACATCGTATCAGATAATCAAAAAAATCGCTTAGTATACAAAGTACACAAATTAAATTGACAAATATCCGTCTTGAAAAAAAGCAATTTTGAGTATCTATACATCTCATTGAATACATATACAATGCATAAAGTACTATCATAATATTATAAATGAGCGTTTATTTCTGAAACGTTGCTCGCGATGTGAAGATGCTATTTCGAGTTTGGACTTTTCAAGAAAGGGCCGGATATTCCGTCGAAGGAGAGGCACAAGTTCACTGACACGAAATAGAATATTACACAGAATATTTTAACGAGAAAAATGCCGCCATGCTTTTGATAAAGATACTTTGACTCTCAACGTTAATGTTTCTCGAATCTTATGAATCGTATAAATTATAAATTGTTTTTTTGCAAATTGTAAAATAAAAAAGACAATCAAAGTTAATCAAAGATGACACTGGTCAACACTCAAATTTTTTTCTGACATTTAACATGTATTATAAGTTATATCTAAGGCACTGATTACGAAAAAATACTAGTTTAGTTGTATCAGCTCTACTTTTTTTTATAAGATATTATAAGATATTATATTTATAAGATATTACAATTATATCGATTATCGATATTTTTGAAAGATGTATTCGCCACAAATATAACAAAAACTATCTGGATTATGTAAACAACGTTTCCGAGTCGAAGACATATTGAAAGTTAAAAAAAATAATAATTTTAAGTTGAGTAAAACTCAAAAAAACTGCACGTGATGTCTAAAAGGGGTAGTCTAAAAATATTGAAAAACAAGAGCTGTTAAAAAAAAACTACTGTCGTACTCGAAATCAGCACACTTAAATAAGCCCAAAACTGCAAAATTATAAGAGGAAAAAATTAAAATTATTTTTTTGTTGACCAATGTAATCGATATAAGATTTTGAATATTCTTGTAAAAAAATCTATATTTCTTATAGACTATTTAAATATCCTTGTACTAATTGTGAGATTAAAGATCACAATTTCGTAATCATTCAGAAGAAACTTTTGGAACAAATTACTATTATCGATATTTGCAATTTACAATGAATTGCTTGAGATTATTCTAGAAAAGGCGATGATTTAATCGGAAGACAAATATAATGGAGAAATGCATTTTAAGAGCTGTTGTTTATAAAAATCAATAATGATAGAAAAATAACTTCTATAAAATATCTAATGTTATAATATATTTTGTTATCTATCATTCTTTTATTCAAACTGGATTATATTTTGCAAAAAAACAAACTAATTTTTTGTTTTAGCGAAAGACACGAAGGAACACATATTTTTCTAAATATATTTTTTTAATTCTCTAAATATACTTTTTAATTCTCTACGAATAAATTTCAACGACCAGATTTAATAAAAGTTTTATAAATTTAAGGTACATTTTTACGTATTCTGCATTCCCTATCTTTTAAGTTAATAAATCATAGAAGTAATATTGGCCGGCAGGTTAATATTTAGCGCAACATTCTCGCTTTCTTAACTTTAATTTTGCAAGCAACTTTTGCGATCTGAGAAAAATAACAGCGTCGAAGTAACAACGGCAAGTATTGCTATATAATTATTTTCAGGAAGCGATCAATGTTGCATGACGTTTACGTAATGCATAAATGTTGGATGCGTTAATCGATTTGATTTCTATCATTAAGTCATTTATTAAATTGAATGTTACCGAAATTTTTTTTCTACGGCGCAGTTGATTTTGTAAAATTATGCACATACAAATAAGAAAACCATTCACGACAAATATACAAAAATAATTTGCTTAATACTTCATATACAAAGAGTTTCTTTATAAGTAATATCCTCGCAATATTACTGTATAAATCACTTTAAAGAACTATGTAAAATGCAAAATGCTTGTCAGACAAGAATTACGCAGTTTGTGCGCAGTTTTGAAATGTTATGAATTATATAAATGAGAGAGATATAAAAATTTATCATTTTCATAACATTTCTTACAATCATCCAAAAATTACTAATACAATCGCAGAAAGCTACTAATTGACAAAAGTAATTTATAACTTATAAAAATGTATACCCCGAGGAAGTAAACAGAAAAATTATTTTTACAAGAAAAATAAATAAATTATTAATAATCATTTATAAATAATTTTATCTCTCTTATGATTGTGCTCTGCAGCCTTCCTATTTTTTTTCTGCTGCTTTTTTTATTCCAAAGGTGCTATAATCGTAGAAAGTTAAAAAAAAAGAATTTTACATTTATATAGAAATAGATATTTAAAATTTAAATTTAATTTAATTTTTAATTTAATTTTGAATTAATTTATCTTATTTATTATCTTATTTATAAAATGTGTAATTTATAATATGTGTAATAATTTATAAATGTGTAATTATTTATAATATGCGTCTGTAAATTTGTAATTTAAAAATGTTCCTATCAATTAATTTGTAATTTAAAAATTGTAATTTAATTTAATAATTTATTATCTTATTTATGTTAAAATGTGTAATAATTTATAAATGTGTAATTATTTATAATATGCGTCTGTAAATTTGTAATTTAAAAATGTTCCTACCAATTAATTTGTAATTTAAAAATTGTAATTTAATTTAATAATTTATTATCTTATTTATAAAATGTGAATAATATGCGTCTGTAAATTTGTAATTTAAAAATGTTCCTATCAATACTATTTATTAGTACTTGATAGTCAAAAATAATGGATATGTTTAGAAAACATACACCTACATGAAACGAAAAAGAGAGAGAAAGAATGTGCTATCGAAATACCTTATTATCATTCGCGCGAACGAGCAAAGTCCTCTTGTGTGTCATCGCTTTGCTTTCCAAAACGCAATTATTCCTTGTAATATTTAATTACAATCAGCAAATATTAATCTATATTACTGACTTATGCTTGTAAAAATATTATGGCGACATTTATTTGATTCAAATAATGAAAAGATACAAATTAATCTCAAATCGCATATGACATCTTGATACATTGAATTAGTAGA